CGATCAACACCATATATTTTTGCGATTAAAGTGAAATTAATCTGTTTGCCTTCTCCGAAGGAATTCAAATAATCAACTGCATCCTCGATTGCACCCATTTCGACTGGTTTATCGCGCTTTGAAATCCGTGTTGTTTTTCGCGTTTTGACGCGATACCGTGCACGAGACGGTGAAGCACTGTAATATTTAACTACGTAGTAGTAGTAACTACTTGTCCCCGTCGCTTCCCCCCTGTTCGCTCAAGGGCGGGCAGCAGGATTAGACCATGCATGACCCAATTCCTTTCTGCATTCTTTGTAGCACATGTGATTAGCTCATTTATCCATGTCTGGTTTAATTCCCAAGAGTACAACCAGGCTTAACTATAAACTGCAAGCTTCGCAATAGTTTCAACTAGCACGGCCTCGTCACTATTTGCCGTCTATTAACACTTATGGCCTCTGGACAAATGAACTGCGCTCCACCAACCAAGTTCGATAGTCCATCAACCCAGGAAATTCCTTTCTGCACTGAACTACATCCCCGCCATATCCGTTCTCTTCAAACCACCGAAACATGTCTCCCACAGTGTCCTTCTTGAAGAACTTCACCGCAGACCCGATTGGACACGGCACCATGGGCATACTGAAACCTAGCACCTCCTGAAAAATAACACCCGCTTCTGGCTGGGTCAGCTCGTCCCCGACCAAAGTCATCGCCACATTGCGATATTTATCAGGATGAATAAACGCTTGAGCCGCTACATAGCCGATATCTTTTGTGGAGATGAGTTGAAGAGCTTTGTTCGGGCCCATCTGCTCCCACATCCGGGCAAAGCCCTTTCCGTGAATATCGGCCGTCATATTCTCAAAGAAGGTGACTGGTCGGAGAATTGAGTAGGTCATACCTTGCGGGCTAGTAGCGGCCATTTTCTGCAGATGCTTCTCAATGTTGAACTTAGCAGCGAAGTTCTTGACGAAGGTGGGATCTATTTCTGATTTCTCTGTTCCACCACGATCGCCGGAGGCGTAGACAAAATGCTGAACGCCGCGGGCGACAGAGGCTGCCACCAAAGCTTTGCCCTGCTTTTCTTCCTCTGGAGAGTTGATCTGGACCCCAAAAACACCCCACACTGGATTGCCGTTAACAGTGGCCTGGTCAAAGATTGAGTCCGGATCGGCCAGGTCGCCGGCGACAACGCATACGTTAGGTCTGCGAGCCAGGGCCTGTGCGCTGCGGGAGGTAGTGTCGCGCGTGACGGCAATGATGCTCAATATTTTGTCACTGTCGTCTGCGGCGAGGAGGGCATCAATGATGGCAGAGCCCTGCTTTCCTGTTGCGCCAGTGATAAGGATTGTCCTAGGAGTTGGTGTGGCCATTGTTGGGCCTGTGAAATTTGATGCGTATTATGTTGTAGGTTCCAGCGGGATTAACTGACAAGTCAATGGTTGAGGTGATAGTAATGATTGATAAATAATAGAATGTATTCTTTCAGGCTTGGTCTGTGACTGTGCTGACCAAGTCCATAGAATATCCATCGACCGCTGTCCATATTGTGACCTTTATATGGGTTTAACGGCCCTAATTGCGCATACAATTATTAGAACAACCTGATCGGCACAATTAAACAAGCCGTGACGGATTCGAGCACGGGAAGTGCTGAAGGAGAGAACTGAATCGGCCGTAGCGACTAGATTCATGGTCGGGAGCGGGGGAATGGATGAACCGCAGTGTCTACTACGGCTGACCCGTGGTGATTTTGTTAGTACGATTTTCTTACAGGGTTTAGATGCCAATGGATTCTGCCCATCAATTTTTCTTACTAAGCTAATATTTTGTATGGCCACCTGCTGCATCTATTACAGCCTGACATCTTGCCTGCATGGAATCAATCAAATCCTTTAGAAACTGCTCTGGCAGTACATCCCAAGAAGCCCGTACAACCTCACGTAATTGATCATAAGAAAGAGTTTCCTCTTCCGGATACTGCCCCTGAATCCAATCCTTCATCCAGTCACATAAAGCTTCAATTGGATTAAGATCTGGGGAGAATGCAGGCCAAAAGATAGGATAGATATCCCGAGGTTGAAGCTCCTCAATCGCATCCTTATTTGCATGTCCTAATCCGCCATCCTGCATAAGCTATAGAAATGTAGATTGCTGTCGATTGAAGCAAATATAGCCATCCATCCCCGTTTCTGAGAGTGAGCAACACGTAAACAAGTCTCCTCTAATTCTTCACCAGCTTTCCTAGTCACCCAGGTTCTTGTATGGAACCCCGGAGTAACCCATGTCTCATCAGTCCAAAGGCTTCGGTTCCACTGTTCAATTATCCAATTTATATGCTCAAGAGCCCAATCAAGACGTACGCGTTTATGTTGATCTGACAGAGGAGGCTTAGCTAGAGCCTTACAACGCGTATATCCTCGTTTTTTGAGTGCTCGACTTAGAGCAGTTGTTCCAACAGGAAGCTCAAACTGTTATATGACCTTATAATAAGGCATACGACGCGTACTTTTTGAAGAGCTAATCCATTCAATAATCTTATCAACACCAGCCTCGGATAGTTTCGGAATCTGGCCACGGGCTTTTTTAAAGTTGCTTGCTGATTTTGACATATATATTGAACCTGGCGATAGCTAATTTGAAGCTGTGAAGAGATTTGTGAATAGGTAAGCCCAGCATCTCGTAGTGTTAAAACCTGAATACGGTCATCTCTTCTTGTAAGGCGCGTTGAATTGTGATTTGCTTCACTAGCAGTAGCTAGACTTGTAGAAGGGGGGTCAGGCTCTGGGTTGATGGCCATATTGATGGATTAGAGAGAGGATAGCTTTCCTAGAGCATATAAACTATATAACTGTCGGTTTATCTACGTCTAGTCGCTAGCACTAGTCACGTAGAACAGCTATTCCGACAAGCTGACGAGCCTAATCAATATGGTATAGAATTCCTGATATTGATGACTGCCCCCCAAGACTAAGGGAGACGGGGGATAGCTAGCTACATATAAACGCTATCAGGAGGGGTAAATATTAGGCTGAAATCTAGGTGCCCAGATATATGCCTAAAGGTGCCTTTTAGACCTGTAAGATTGAACAGTCGATCTTTCTGCCTCGTTTGAAAGCCGGATTATCTGACACACCCCCTCAGCTGCAGAAAGCAACTACTTGCAAAGCTGGAATAGCTTCATAAGTTGTTAGGCACATCATTAAGAGAAAGTAATTCTTCAATATCTGGGTTCTTCATATCCTTTTGCTGGGGAGTGAGATAGCTATTAATATCCTCTACTCCAATTTGATTGAGGAACTTTTAGTATTCCTGTTTACTGAGTGCCTTGGTCAGACTGTTGGCAATCATATCTTTTGTGGGCATGTAGTGCACTTAGATGTCTCCCTTCTGCATCTCTTGTCATACCTAGTAATTATAAATATCAATGTGTTAGAGCTTTATACACAGTCACAGAGCGTCCTTCTTCAGCAATCCTAGAGTTTGCTGGTTATCACAGAAAATATAAAGAGTAGGTGTTCTAAAACATATCTCCAACTCTAGAAGCAATCAAAGGACATATTTGTCTTCTTTCACCCCCTAAGCAAGAGCTAATAGTTTAGCTTTAGTGGTTGACATTGTTACTATATCCTGCTTATTCACTTACCATCCTATTATTTCACCAAAAAGTGTCATGACGTATACTTGTGAGCTCTTATAGTTAAGTATATTATCTGTAAAGGAGGTGTCTATTAATACTGAATAATCTTCACCTCCTCCGAGCCTCAAGGCGTACGCACAATAACGTTCGAGGTAGCATAAAACCTTGTTAGCAGCTTGATAGTGCTTTGGTCCAGGATTTGACAAGAACCATGAAAGCCATAAGATAGTAAAAGTCATATTAGATTGAGTGCTTACTGCCACATACATGATTGAGCTAACTTTCCATTGATATTGATAGTTACTTTTGTAGGTGGCCATTCCTTTGTATAGGAGTAATTCTTCTTAAGTCATTAGTGTGTCGTCAGTTTGTCGAGTGTTGGCTAACTTCACAATTTTATTAATATAGGTGGCTTGACTGAGCCAGATCACCTTATTGCTTCGATCCTATATAACTCTTATACCTAGAAACCACTCCAGGTCTCCTCCTCTGGATATTTTATATTTAGCATGAAGTTGGTTCATGACTAAGTCAGCTTCTGGTTGGTGGCTCTTCTTATATATAATAACGATATTGTCTACATAAAAGAACAGTATGATCCCAGATTTTAACATGCAACACAGTTTGTGAGGCACTGTTTTGAAACCCAACTCTATGAGGGTGCTAATAAGTTCCTTTTACCATAGGAGTGGTGATCTATGTAATCTATAGAGAGCCTTGTTCAGTCAATATATTTTTCTAGACTCATAATATCTAGGAGCTATTCTTATAAAGATCTCTTTGTCTAGTATAGCATTAACGAAGGCATTAACAGCGTCATATTACTCAATTAAACTACAAGACGGCAAATCGACCGCAGGAAACGGAGCTGCTCGACTCCGT